TGAGAACAAAAACAAGTGTGGGAATACAGAGAGAAAAAAATACAATTTGTTGAAAGATTGTTGTATAATATGGGAAAGCTTTTAATGCTTTTTATTAGAGTTTTTTTTTGATCTGCGCTTCAGTATTGTAGTACATTATAAAACAGTATGCAATAAATTATAGTTTTAATTATTAAATGCATGCCACCTTATTGGTACAATAAAGCCCTCCCTACACCTACCCTAACCCTACCCGATATTTTATTTTCAACTTTTTGATTATTTCCTTAATTTATATTGAAAATAAATGCCTTTACCATGTGATACGAGATTTGAAAAGGGAGAAAAAAAAAAGGTTCGGCAAAAGGCGGGATCGAACCCGGGTCGATTGCGTCAAAAAGCCAACAACACGCGCTTATCCAGCCGCGCCACTGGAGCTGATGTTTTACAGCCACTTTATTTGTTTTCGAATTTGTCGTTGTGCTTTCTGAATTGTTATTTAGTTTTTTAGACTTGCATTTGTGTTTGTAATTTGTTATTTTGTTTTCAGAATTGTGATTTGTTTTGCACTTCTCGGTCACCGTAATAAGGTCCGTAAGTATTTGGCAATATCTTCATGAGAAATTTACAAGTGATTTTTGTGTGCCAGTCATTTTTGACCAAGAACAACATAAGTGTAAGAAGGTGAGGAAAAAAATCCCCCCTCCCCCTTTTTTGGAAGTAGTCATTGTAAGTTGGTTTTAGTCCAATGCAATAACATGAACTAACATTTTCATCGAAATAACATTTTAAAAATGTCATAGTGACTGGAACAAAACATGAGGGTAAAAACTTTTTTCTTTAGGATTAATTTATGCATTTTTAAAAAATCATTTAAAAGGACCTGAGCATTTTTTTTTTCATTTGCAAAACTTACATTTCAACAAAAATACATAATTTGAGAACAAAAACAAGTGTGGGAATACAGAGAGAAAAAAATACAATTTGTTGAAAGATTGTTGTATAATATGGGAAAGCTTTTAATGCTTTTTATTAGAGTTTTTTTTTTTGACGTGATCATCCAGCCAAAGCAAATACATATAGTGATTATTGTCAGTTTCTGATCTGAAACTACAGTTTGTTATGCATGTAGTATGAGAGTGTGATCATACAAACAGCATGATTGAAGTGCTAAATAGGATCCATATGTAAGTGCAGTTTTCCTTCAGGTCCTAGAGATGTAAGTGTTGAGTGGCACATAAACGGGCAGAAGCTCGAGACTCCTGTCACTGAATACAGACACGTGGTTTCCCATGATGCCGTGCTGGTGAGCAGCTGGCTGAGGGAGGAGGCTTTGAATAAAGGTGTCCAGTACGAGTGTACAGCGGTGTCTGCAGCGGGAAGCCACGCGTCGAGAGTGGAGCTTCGGCTCGACAACAGAGGTAAAGCGTTTCATCACACTGCTGTGTTAGTCTGAGCTGTGACATTCTGTAACGTGTCTCTGTGTGCTCTCAGACGAGGCCGTGGAGCACTGGAGAACCGCTCTGACCGAGCACAACACACTCCTGCAGCAGTGGAAGAAAGCATGGGTGAGGGAGAACCCACACACACACACACACACACACACACACAAGTGATGTTTTCACAACATAACTGAATGAAATGAAAATATGTGCATCATCAGGAATGATATTTCACAGCTGCGTAACTGTTTTCAACATTGATGATGACCAGAAGTGTTTCTTGAGCAGCAAATCAGCATATTAGAATGATTTCTGAAGATCATGTGACACTGAAGACTGGAGTAATGATGCTGAAAATCCAGCAGCGCATCACAGCAATAAATTATATTTTACAATATATTTATATACAAAACGGCTATTTTAAATTGTAATAATATTTCACAATTTTTACTATGTTTTTGATGCAATAAATGCGGCATTGGTGACTGTGAGAGACTGATCCCAAACTTTTGAATGTTATAGTGCTTGTTTGATTTCAGACACATTTTGGCTCACTGCACATATTTGGTAAAGGTGAGAGTGCCTTCGTTCAGTATTTACAACAGCTGAACCAAAAAATATATGCATTATTTATTTATAATGCATTTCCACATTTAAAATGCTGCCTCGTCAAGTCAAGTCAAGTCACCTTTATTTATATAGCGCTTTTAACAATACAGATTGTGACAAAGCAACTGAACAGCATTAATTAGGAAAATAGTGTCAATAATGCAAAATGACAATAGTAAACACTCATTTTTCAGTTAAAGACAGTTCATCATTGAACTTCTGAGTAACATTGAGAATATCACTATATATTGTTGCAACACCGCCGCCACGACCAGTCTGACGGGGCTCATGCTTATAATAGTAGCTTGGTGGAGTAGACTCATTTAGACCAATATAATCATTAGGTTTTAGCCAGGTTTCAGTCAAGCAGAGTACATCAAAACAATTATCTGTGATCATTTCATTTACAATAACTGTCAGACTTCGGGTTGGTAGTGAGGTCAGTTAGACATAGAAAAGCTTCTTTAAAATAGTTCCAGTAAATACTGAACAAATAAAGATGTCCCCCAAACACATATTTTATTTTATTTTATATTTAATATTCTTTTTTTTTTTTAGATTTGATTTAATTTGATATTTATTTTATACTTTTTATTTTTTTTAAATATATTTTATTTAAATTTACATTTACATTTATTTTGTTTTATTTTATTTGTTATATATTTTTTTTATTTATTTTAAGTTTTATATTTTTATTTAAATGTTATATTTTATATTTGTTTTATTTTTTATTTTAGATGTATTTTGTATGTTTTAGTTTGGTGTGGGCTGAAGATCTCTTCATATGTTTGTGATGATGCTGATGTCTGTTGTTTCTCGTTGTTGTCCTGCAGGAGAGCTGTGACGGAGAGGGTGTTCTCTGAAGCAGCTCATCATGGCATCATTTTCTGACTCCAGGGAGAGACGCTTGGACAAGAGCACACACACACACACACACACACACAGCTCATGTCACACTGGTGTTGTGTGGTGGTTTCTTCTCTCACAGGCGCTCCGAGTCTGTTCCCGATCCGTGGATCCCATCAGGATTCCAGGCTGTTGGAGAGATCTGTGGAGGACGAGTGCGGTGAGACGGGCCTCTCGGGCTGATGACAACTGCTTTTCCTCAACCGTCCGCACACTTCTATTTATACTCCCTCCATCCTCGAGAGCAAATGACAGCGGCTCATGTTAGTGAAAGCAACATTTGTGTTTATAATAGTCCTCTTGAGTTATTTAAATAATCGTGTGTTTATCTGAGCAGATATATTTCAAAGAAGTTACTGGTCCTCCAAAAGAGGTTGCAACCACAATAAATAATATTTCTATAATTTGTGAGACTGTAACCATGTTTTCTAAACGCATGTGATGCATTTGTACCAATGTTATTTCATTATCATTGAGATTTTGAATTTGTTTTTATTTTTGTTTTCCATTTTCATTATCATTTTAGTTATTTTGGTACGTCAATTTAATTTTAAAATGAGTAATGTTACTTCGGCAACTAGTTGAAATAAAATTCATTTAGGTATTTTATTTTGTTTCAAGTAACAGAAATGGTTATTTTTATGGCTTTAGTTTTAGTTAATGATAATAACCAAGGTCAATGCTGTCGTCATTTATCCTTCTATCAAGTCCTGCTGCTTTACCAGCTGATCCAGACCTCTATAACACACACACAGACTCTTACAAACCTATTAAAGTCATTGTTTAAACCTCTAAACAAGGGTAGGTGAATCCTCTCAGTCCTTATTGCTTTAGTAAAAATTCATCCTTCTGCATAAAACCAAAAGTGGACAGATACAGTACATACATGCGTTTCATATCACATTTTATAGACCAGCAACCAATGTTTTGAAAACTAGCATGCAATTTTTGTATGCATATGCAACAGTATATAATGCAGCATAGCTGTCACACAATGCACATTCAGTACGAGGTTCTTAAATCAATGGTTTCAAATCAATTCCTACAGAAACAGGAAATGAGTGAGATCCAGCCACAGGTGAGTCAATTTAATGCAAAGTAAATTTAATTAAAACATACTTTGATAAAACAGACTTAAGCATTTGTAAGTAGATTTGGTCATGATCCAGCAAAGGCCAGGGACCTTTATGAGCATTGAACAGGCCTGTTTAATGTTTCACAGTTCAAACAAGGCAAAGCTAGTGGCTTTTGTCATTTTGACAGCTATCGAAGTCACACAACAAGCAAATGTTGTGATTTTCGTCTTATTTAGCGTAGATATTAAGGCCAGGAAAGGTGTCTGGGGGTTTAGCATTGAATCAAATAGTTTATATCGGCATTGTTTGCAGAAACAAAACAGGACTCGTGTTGCAAACAATAAAACGCAATTGATGTAAATTTATAAAAATGATGACAATAGAAATCTGATAAAGCACGTTAAATATTCTGCATCCCCCCTGAAAAAGGGAACACATTTGTATTTTATTATTATAATTTATCCAAATTAACGAGGGATACAACATGAAAGTGTTGTAAATATGTTTTTTTTTAAAATAGTAGTTGCTTTAAAGGGTAAGTTCCCCGATTTTCAACCAGCTTAAGTAAATTAACAATGTTTGTGAAAACTACAGATCGTAGTTCCGCCTTTTTGTATCCCCGCTCACGGATAGTCTGCGCGAGCCCAGTGCATTATGGGAGTTGTAGTTTTCCTACCTTTTTCGCCACATCCCTCAATTCTCGTTTTTTCCCCTCTAGTCGTGTAGCACATTTTTAAACCGCGTTTCTACTGCATAGACAGCCAATTTTTTTTATCAATACCCTACCTGCCAGCAATGAAGTATCCCTTTAACAATTAAGTCCAATATTAGGAACACCGAACCACAGCATTAGTTGCAATGTGGCGCCATCAAGTGCTGATAGAAAAACTTTACACAAAGCAGATACGAGGTGGCATTTTAATATTTTTTATTATAAAGAGCAGCAAGGATAAAATAAGTATACACAGTCATCATTTCATTCTTTTTTCAAAAGTAATTTATGATAAAGGGTCAAAACCTTTTTCCTCTCTCCATATAAACCCTGTTCTTAAGTAGCACAGTTGCTGATAGTGCCGTCATCATGGCTCTTCTTCTACAACTACCTTATTAACAAAGTTTTATACTTGATAGAAGCACATTTTAAACTTTATAAAGCATCTGTACAGTATTACAATCGCCTTCCCTGAAGAATGAATGCAAACGAAGAATTTCAACCTGAGAATGGCCAATACGTTAACTAGATACACACAAATGATCTCCCTTTAGCATACAGTACATCTTTTATCCCCAAAATGAATTTAGCTCAGCCACTTAAACACTAATTTAGGTTTCTAAACACTGACGATGCAGCACAGACTTTTATTAAAGGTTCAGCTTCACTCAGAGATGCACTTGAGTCGCATGATTTAGTTAAGAGCCCTTACATTTTCACTGAAAATGCATTTCCTACAATCCCTTGATTCTGTTCGGGCATAATCGCAGTGAAACGCAGCATCATGGTCACAGGAGTCCAGAAACGTGGTTAAGTTCTCTAGTATTCACTGACAACCACAGGCATGTTCCAGAGGAGACAAGTGTCTCTGACCGTCACTGTTTTGGTAGCGGTCTCCTAAACAGCAGAATATGAGGTTCTGAAAAATAGAATAAGCAAACGTTAGTCCTTTTTTTTCACCTATAATGGCTTTAATATTCAGGACACAGTTGGCAAATGCCAGATTCAAATCACATGGTCAGAGATCAGCTGATTTTAGTGTAAACACACACACACACACAGGTTTGTTTTTATGGTTTGTGGGGACTCTCCATAGGCGTAATGGTTTTTATACTGTACAGACTGTATATTCTATTGCCCTACACCAACCCTACCCCTAAACCTACCCCTCACAGGAAACTTTCTGCATTTTTAGATTTTCAAAAAAACGTAATTCTGTATGACTTATAAGCTTTTGTACCCGTGGGGACCACAATTTAGGTCCCCACCGTGACACGAGTCCCCATGAGTCTGTGTGTAGTCAGGTTTAAGTCCCCACCAG